GGTTCTTTCGTAACTTAAAGTCTGCAACTAGAGAACCTAATGACCTAGTGGTAGTGTCCGACCGACACAACAGTATATCGAAAGGAGCTTATAGCGTATATGATGCTGCACATCATGGAATTTTCATCTTTCATTTATTAAAGAATCGCAAACAGTGGCATAAATGCAAATAGATCGATCGATTATTTAATAGGTGTGCGAGGGCATACACAACATTTGATTTCGAATTACATATGAAACATCTGGAACAAGTAGTTCCATCAATAAGGAAGGAGTTGCAAGAAATTGGATATGAAAAATGGGCTCGTGCATTTTCTACTAAGAATCGTCATAGTCTAATGATAACAAATATATCAGAAAGTATCAACTCTACTTTTAGACAAGCTCGTGAGATGCCGATTATTCGTCTTCTTAAACATATAAGAGACCTGATGCAAAGATGGTTTTATGTGCGTAGATCTTTCTATAGCTTTCAACAAATAGACATTACACCATGTGCCACTTATGCTCTACATTCATCCTTAAAAGACAGACGCACGATGGATGTAAGTTTTACATATACTTGTATCATTTTATTTATTGTTCTAAATGTTACATACTAATACTTCAATTGGTCAATATACAGATATACCCGGTGGACCAGTACGTTTACGAGGTCCACAACGGCGATAGATATTTCGATGTAAATATTCTCCATTGTACGTGCAGTTGCAAACAGTAGGACATAGACTTCATTCCAAACTTCATTCCATGCTCCCATGCATGGCTTGCCATAAGTGGTACAGGATTAGAGCTACACTCATTTGTGCCCAAATTCTGCCATGTTTTAACATTATAATTGTTATACTCTGTGAACCTTATTGGTCAGACTCAAAACATATATACATCAATTCAACCAGACAATACAGAGATTCTCTCTCCTAATGTTAAACGATTTGCTGGTAGACCACGATAAAAAGACTTATTACTCCTAGTGAAGCTACTTCCATAGTAAGATGTGACAGATGTCATAAACTAGACCATAATCACAGACGTTACAAAAACCCACCTGCCACTTGAATATGTTTTAAGCTTGCTTTTATATTTTAAGTTTGGATATTTATGTGACAACTATTTTTCTTCAGGGTCATTTATTACTCCAATGCAATATTAACTGTTTTTTTTTTTGTTTTTTTTATATGCCTAACTACCACACCCATTCTGCCCTATCACTATCAAATAATATAGTTTAATTTATATATCTGCATCAATATATATATAAATATTTGCATCAATTTGGTCTATAAACCTAACCACATGAGTTTCCAATACTCGTGTGACTATTATGAGAATATGCTCCCACCAATTCTTTATCATTTTATAATTCATCTACAACAAAACAAAATTAAAAAATCGAAGACTAATAGCCCATAAATCAGAACGATAAGAAAAATATGTGATGTCATCTTAAGTGCCCAGTTCCATAAATCAAAACACAAAAATCTACATAAATCAAACACTAACATCCCAACAAATAGACAAGTCTCACATCTAATATCCATAAATGAGTCAAATGAGAAACATAAATCAAACACTATCAGCCCAACAAATAGGAAAGTCTCACAACAAATATCTATAAATGAGTGAAATGATAAGTAAATGCAAAAATTTGTTCAGTTCTACTTTGCACCGTTGATCTTCCACGTCGTCCCAACCCAGATCCAACTGCACGCCTCCGCTGCGTCGATCTCCAGCCGCGGCACCGTCCCAACCCAGATCCAGCCGCACACCACCTCCACACCGTCGATCTTCCCCATCCACTCGCCTCAGGACGCCGCACGCAGCCGATCAATCTCCCGCAGCAGCTCAACTCCGCGTCCCATTGTTCTCGCGCTGCGTCGCCCGTCCCAACTAAGATCCACCAGTTCCACCGCTGCGCCGCACCTTCCAGTCACTGCACCATCCCCTCCCGTCGTCGTGTCCTTCCGCCCGAACCCAACTCTGGCCCTCCCCGCCGCACCGTCTGAACCAGATTCGGTCGTCCCACCACAAACTAGAACTGGTCGCTGTTGCCCTCCACTCTCATCTGTTTTCGATCGCTTGCCACTTTTTGGAACCTTTTCAATCCAATATCATAAAAATATCTACCAGACAGTTATAGTTCAAGAACTTAATGTGGATAATAGTTTTAGGGGATCACCAAGAGAATCAATGTTTAAAAAAATATGTTAAGATGATTTTGATTTTATTCTTTAAAATCTTAAATTCATGAAAAAAAAATTTAAAAAAAATACAAAACCTACCAGATGAACTATAAATTTAATGAAGATTTAATTCGGATGAAGTTTGAGGGTTGGCTAAATAATCATACCATGTCTGATGTCGATGACATTTGCTAGTGGATCTAGCATGGGTATATGCTCCTTATTACAGAGTCTTTGTCGAGTTTGCAATCGTGCGTCTGCATGTCTTAAATGACAATCACACTTTTGCTTCGTCTGTATATGGAAATATCCACGGGATCTGTATCCATAACTATGCATGTTTAAAAACGTAGATAATAGTTTTAGTAGATCACCGATCTATATAGAATCAATATTTAAAAAATAACTTGAAGATCATTTTGATTTTATTCTTTAAAATCCTAAATTCATACAAAATATATATATATATATACATACAAAACCTAAAAGATGAATTATAAACTTAATGAAGATTTAATTTGAATGAAGTTTGATAGTTTTTGAAATATAGGAGTAAGTACATCTCGAGACTAAATAATCATACCATGTCTTATGTTGAAGACATTTGCTGGTGCGTCTAGCACGAGTATATGCTTCCCATTCAAAGTTTTTAATGAGTTTGCAATCGTACATCTACATGTCTTGGTATATAGAACTATGTACGGGATCTGTATCCACAACTATACAAGAGCTCTAGGGCATATACAACATATGTCATTCGGACTCTGTATATAGAATTATTCCCATTTCCCTTTCTCTATACGAATCTTCTCATTATTCCCTACCTTGAAGAACGCGTCTGCTGGTGCGTCTAGAACGGGTATGTGCTTCCCCTTACAGAATCTATGTCGAGTTTAAAGACTATCACACTCTAACTTCTTCCAGTCTGAAAAATATGATTTTCTCTTTTGGCGGGTGTTGTACTTATAATTCTCATTGTCTTTTCCAATCATCTTCTACATCTTCTACTTCTTTCTCTCAACTGTTAACAATTATATTACTTTAAATATCCTCCAATGTTTGCTTATAAATTTTGCAAATTAAAGCTAAAATGTACAGATTAATATGGGAATCAAATTGCACAAGTCGCACAACCAAAGAACCAAGCTAGGGTAGACAAACGAATGTGACAACAAACGGTTTGGATGACATATTTTGTGGCAGAAAACTATCAAGGAGAAGAAGAAATTCTTCGGTTATTCTATTATTGAGTTGAATTCTTCTTATAATCCGAATGCTTACTAGATGAATTTCGATCACGGAATCAGAGGCTCAATCTGTACAAGTCGTTCTCTGTTCGATTTGTTGATCCCTCCATTTCTTGAGAAACTTGACAATGTTAGATTGACAAAGAATTAGTTGGATTTATTTTGTAATTTAATTAATTTACGGTTATGTAGGTTATGGAGGATTTAATATGATTTTTAATTAGTTTGAAAGATATTCAAATTAGTTTGATTACCATTTAAGTACGTATATATTTTAGGGATTCACAACTAACCAGAATATGTGGCTTGGGTAGGGTAAATATGGAAATTTACCTCTTCCATAATTTTTGAAAATATTGATTTGACCATTTTTTAAAATTAAAAAACCTATGGCCATTTTTCATTAGCGTTTTGCATTCACATCTCCTTCATCACCCATGACCTCATTTTTCACTTTTTTTTTTCCTTAGATTGTTATAAAAGCTCATACTTTTGAATATGGTCGTTTTATATAAATGATGTGAACCGTAACATACAAAAAAAAATTGAATGATGTGATCTAATAGTAAAAATTCTTAAAACAATATTTTTTTGTTTCAAGTGTTATCAAATTTTGAATTTCAAACTTTAAAATGTAAAATTATTTATAAAAAAAATAAAAACTTTGATAAATATATTATCTCGTGTTATAAAATCATTTCATTTTTTTTTGTTAATATTAAAATATGTAAAATATAATATATCATAAATTATATAATATTGTAAAATAATAATTATACAAAATTTATAAGAAAAATGTTAATAAATTAATTAATATTATTTTATATTGAATTAAATATTTAGCTAGTAACTACTCTTAGTTTACAACTATATTAGTAACAGTTTTTTTAAATTGATATTCAATTTCCAAATCTACTACCAAACATATTTGAAAACAATGAAAACAAATTAGACAAATATTTTTTCATTGAATCCCTTATTTTCAAATTTTTGTTTTCAGATCACTAAAAGTATTTATAGCACAAGAAATTTCTTAAATAAGAATTCTAAAATAATCTAACTAGTCAGGATGACAACTTTCAAATTTCGTATCAAAATGCTAGTTCACTTCTAATAAAATTGCCATTCAATCCCTCATTTGAAAATATTTGGAAAAAATAAATGAGTATCAAAATACTCATTAAGCAATTCTCATGTCCAACTTTGAAACTACCATTCAAAACATTCATATACAAAAGTACTAGATTGGAGTTAAAAAAAGTTGTTACAAAGTCGTTACAAAACATTTTATACCACTACTGAAAAAGTTAACGTTTCAAAAACAAGAAAAGTAAAGAATTTTTTTTTTTTTTTTTGAAAAGAACTAAGTGACAATGGCTCATGACTGAAAATAGTGCACCAATCTTAAATCTTGAAGTGAATTTTGTATTATTGATTCACTTGCCATATACAAAAGTTGCAGCCCTTTTATAAAGAAAGACAAAATGCTTTATATTATTGGGCTTTCAAATACAGACATTGGGCCTCTGGGTTTCTATCATTTTATGGGCCTAGTGATTAGCCTTAACAGCCCCTCTCAAGCCAAGGGAGAGGGGAGCGCGAACCTTGAGCTTGTCGGTGAGGTCATGAAAATGGAGAGGTGACAGCGGCTTTGTGAGCAGATCGGCGATTTGGGCAGTCGACGGTAAGTGTTGAACTTGAATCTGTTTTGAAAGTACAAGATCTTTGACAAAGTATATATTAATTTCAACATGCTGTATCCTTGAGTGCAGAATAGGATTCGAGCAGAGATGAACAGAGCTGAGATTGTCACACCACATTATAGGAGGCTGGGAGATGGAAATGCGAAGCTCACGAAACAAGGTCTTCAGCCATACAAGTTCAGGCAGCTAGGGCTAATGCATGGTATTCTGCTTCTGTGCTAGATCTCGAAATAATTGATTACTTTTTCGATCCCCAAGAAATAGGTTTGTCCCCTAAGTAGATACAAAATTCAAAGGTGGATTTCCTGTCATCAGGATCAGATGCACAGTCGGCGTCAGAATATCCTTGTAGAGTCATTAGGGTGGGTTTTGTAAGGAGTAGTCCAGTCGAAAATGACCTTTTAAGATATCTGAGAATCCTCTTTACCATATGCCAGTGAGTTATGGTAGGGGCATGCATAAATTGACATGCTTTGTTGAATGAAAATGACAACTCAGGTCTGGTTAGAGTCACATATTGGAGGGCACCTACTATGCTTCTGTATAAAAAATGGTATGGGAGAGGGTCCCCTTGTCGAGCTGATAGTATAGAACCACTAACCATTGGTGTGGATATTACATTAGCCTCAAATATTTTTGCCCGTTGTAGTAAGTCAGTGATGTATTTTGATTGAGAAAGAAATAAACTATCAGCTGAGGGATAGGATACCTCAATTCCCAAGAAGTAACTCAATTTTCCCAAATCCTTTAATGAGAACTTCTGATTAAGGTATGAATTAGTTGTTGAATTTCAGATGTAGAGCTGCCTGTTAGAACTATGTCATCCTCATAGATTAATATGTAGCAACAAGTATTGTTTTGGACCTGAAGAATAAGGATGGGTCTGCTTTGGAACCAACAAATCCAAGAGAAATCATGAATGAACTAAGTCTTTCAAACCAAGCCCGTGGAGCTTGTTTTAGCCCATAGAGTGTCTTACGAAGTTTGCAGACATGTTGTTTGGCGTGTGGTTGTACAAAACCTATTGGTTGATCCATGAGGACAGTTTCACTTAGGAGACCATGCAAAAATGCATTATTAATGTCTATTTGTCTTAGTGTCCATTCATGTGCTAAAGCCAGAGTTAATAGTACTCTGATTGTTATAGGTTTAACCACGGGGCTACAGGTTTCAAAATAGTCTATGTCTGCAGTCTGATGAGACCCTTTTGCAACTAGGCATGCTTTGTACCTTGATGTAGACCCATCTGTATTCCTTTTTATCTTGAAGACCCATTTGCATCTAACAACTTTCTTATGAGTGGATGGTGGTACTAGCTCCCAGGTTTCATTTTTCATTAGTGCAGAGTACTCTTCCTCCATAGCTTTTCACCAATGACTGTGTTTCATAGCTTCCTTGGCAGAGGTAGGTTTTACTTCCTTGTAGTCAGCTAGATAGATTCGTGGTTTGAAAATTCCATTCTTTGCACAAGTGACCATAGCATGAGTGTTCACAGATGTACTAGCATTAGATATTGAATTGGGTGTAGGTCGTATAGATGAGGAATTTGGTGTAATTGGAACAGTTGTTGGATTCTGGTTAGGGCAGATAGAGGTGGGATCCAGGCTAACTGTTGAAGAATTAGTTGATGGTGTTGAGGATAAGGGAGAACTAGGATTTTGACTAGGTGATGAAGGTAAGGGAGAGTTAGGGTGTGATACTGTTGGATTGGGTACAATAGGAGAGGAAGTGTTGGTTAAAATTGGTGATGGGAAGTAGGTAGAGTTTGGGAAGTAGGTAGAGTTGGGGAAGTAGACTGAGGAATAGGGGATGTAGGTAGAGTAGATAAGGGAGAGAGAATAGGTAGATGATTTTGGACTCCGGTTGAGTTGTTAGGTATAGAGAAAGGAGATTGATGAAATTTGAATGGAAACTCTGTTTCATTAAAGGTGACATGACGTGGTATGTATAAACGACCTATAAAAGAAAGACATTTATAGCCTTTATGGATATTGTTGTACCCAAGAAATATACATGGGGTGGAAAGAGTTTGGAGTTTGTAGGTATTATAGGATCGTATACATGGGAAACAAAGACAACCAAAGGTCTTTAGGAAAGAATAGGATGTTTTTTATGGAAAAGCTTCTCCAGTGGACTAATCCATTTAAGTGTTGGTGATGGGAGTCTATTAATGAGATAGACAGCTGTTGAAAATTCATCTTCCCATAAGTCTATAAGCATTGAGGCTTGAGAGAGTAAGGTTAGGCCCATTTCAACAATGTGACGATGTTTACGTTCTGCAATTCCATTTTGTTGTGAGGTATATGGACAAAATATTCGATGTTCTATTCCATTTGACTTTAGGTATTTAGAAAAGGCTTGGAATTCACCTCCACCATCGGATTGGAAAGTTAGGATAGGAGCATTAAGTCGTTTTTCAATTAAGGTTTTTAATCGTATGAAGGCTAAGAATGCTTGAGATTTATTTTCGAGAAAATAGATCCAAGTATATTTGGTGAAGGCATCAATGATGGTAATATAGTATTTATAGTTATTTCGAGAGCTTTTAAAAGCTGGTCCCCATAGGTCTGAAACTACTAATTGAAGGGGTGCAGTATATATAGTTTGAGAAGAAGAAAAAGGTAGACTGTGACTTTTGCCAATAGGACATGCAGAACAAAAAGAGTGCTTTTTATTAATATGAATTTTGGGGATACAATCATGAAGAACTTTGTTTGTAATTTCAGTAGATGGATGGCCTAACCTCTGATGCCATATATCTATAGGGGAATTACAAGTTGGTGGAATGTAGGATTGAAGAGGGACAATAGTGTGAAGGATATGACTTGGATATGAGAAGCCCTCAGACTCTGGTGACGATGCTGTCAACTTGAATGGATATAGTCCATCACAGAGATTTTCTTGTAGGATAATTCTACCAGACTTTGTTTTCTTTTGTGAATTGGCTAACACTAAGTAGGTTCTTGGTCACAGAAGGAACACGTACAAGATCATGTAATGGAAGATATGATTAGATGGGTAATAAGAGAAGATGAGCCAGAGTGAGTTATAGACAAACCTGCCCCATTAATTGTATGAATCTGTTGTCCATCTGTGAATTCTTTGCTATTTGTGATGTTGGTGATATGATTTATTGCGCCCATGGTTTCAAATTTCGAGCGACACGTCGACATGTCGACGTGTCGAGGTGCTCGACATCGGCATGTTGGGGAAAAATCGTTTTTCCCCCAATGTCGTCGACATGTCGATTCAAATGTCTTTTTTTTTAATTTAGGTTATTTTATTTCCATTCTCTTCTTACTGATCTATAATTTTTCACAACCTCGATGATTGTAATCTTAGTCTGTTCAATGTAACATTCATATTTTAATATAAAAATTTAGTAATAAGTATAACTAACGAGATCCTTATAAATATAAGATTCGGAATTT